GCCAACCTTCTTGTTAGCAGCCAAATGCCTTAGGCACTATGCCACCAGAGCTCCTAACAGCAGTAATTAGTGAACCCTAATTGTTTTAATATAGCCTTTTATTTCATCAATGCAAGGTTTTATTATACCATTTCCTTGTGCAGGGAGTTTAAACACAGGGAGGTTAGGTAACTTGCCTTAAGGCACCTGGCTGAGAAGCCTGGACGCTGGGACTTAAAGATTCCATTCATTCATATTTGTGTGCACCTGTGATAACTTAGGCACTGTCCTGCGCTCTGGGGACCTGCGCTCTGGGGACACGACACCAAATAAAACCCTAAATCACAGTTTCCATTGCTGAAGACTCGCCCCCAGGTCTGCAATCCTAAAACCCCAAGCTAGGAACCATTTCACCATGCCTCACTGCGCTCTTCTGATTCTTCTAGAAAAAGACCTGTACCAGGCGGGAGCGGCGCCCAGAAAGAATTGGACAATACACAGAGCACCCGGTTGTAGAAAAGCTGTCTGCTTGGAGCCCGTGGCCAAAGACTCCTGGGGAAGGAGCTGCCCCCTCTCCCATTGAAGGGGGAGGGTTCGGAGCGGCGAGTGGGCATCAAGGACTGTGGTTGGAAGCTGAAGGTTGCTCTCGCCACGCCCTCCCGCTTTGCCACGCCCTCCCGCTTTGCCACGCCCTCCCGCTTTGCCACGCCCTCCCGCTTTGTCACGCCCCCATCCCGCTTTGTCACGCCCCCATCCCGCTTTGTCACGCCCCCATCCCGCTTTGTCACGCCCTCCTGTTCTCCCTGGGCTGGGCGGAGCTGGCTCTGCACAGCCGGAAGCAGTGGTCGGTTTCTGCCCGCTGCCCCTTGGCAGAGGCGTACATAAGGAAAATTACTGCCTGTGGCAGGCGTTGAAATTGCGCCTCTCTGCAAGCATCGACGGTCGTCTAACAGATAACTTTACCCTAATAACAGCTCAAAAATACAAGTCAAGCTTGTTTATCTTCTACTTAACACGAGGGCACTGCATGAAAAGTACCCCTGCACCTTCCTTGCTTTCACTGATGAAACTCGGTCTATGATGTGCTCAAAGCCTGGTGTTTCCAGTTCCTCCCCTGTCTGCGTTCGGTAGAGCGGACCTCCCGGCACAGGCGGTGTGGGAGCCCGTGGTGCCAGAGTCTGACGTTCAGACCGCTTCCCCGGGGAGCTGCACACCTTGGACCCAGCGCGCGTCTTCGGCTCCCAGCGCGCGTCTTCGGCTCCCAGCGCGCGCTCATGCGGGTCGGGCCCACAGCCAAGCCCACGAGTGGTCATCCCCAGCCGGGAAAGGGCTGAGAGTTTCAGAATCAGACGGAGCGGGTGGAGCCCAGGACAGAGAAGAGAGGGAAGGGCCAGGCTGGCTGTGAGACCTCCCCAAGGGAAGAACAAAAAGATTCCTTGCACAGGAGCTTGGAAAGGAGTGGGGAGTGGGAAGGAGAAGGCAGGCGGGCTGGCCTCTCTGGCGCTGCCGCTCCGAAGCGCGTTGGAGATAACCGCACTCAAATCAAGGCTGATGAGTTCTTTGCCTGCCCGACTACCGGGGGTTGCCCCTTGTGCCGAAGAGGAAAGGATCGAGCAGTCCGCCTTGCCCCGTTGTTAGGTCCCACTCATAGCGACGCTGTGCACAGCGTCAGGAAACGCTGTCTGGTCTACACCAGCCTCACGGTGGCTGCTTGCTTGAGCCCATTGTCGCAGCCACTGTGTCAGTCGTCTCCTTGAGGGTCTTCTGGGAGCTCTGGTAGCATAGTGCCTAAGGCACTTGACTGCTCACCAGAAGGCTGGTGGTTCAAACCCACCAGCCACTCCTCGGAAGGAAGGTTGGGCAATCCATTTCCATAGAGATACTGCCTCGGAAACCCAAGGAGGGGTCACTATGAGTCGGGGCCGACTCGACGGCAAACAACAACAACAATTTGACCAAAAAGGGTGCCCTTCGGAGACTAGTCTCTCCCGACGACACGTCCAAAGTACCCGGGGCGAAGGCTGCCACCTTCACCTCTAAGCATTCTGCCTGTGCTTTTTCCAGGACAGATGTGTTCATCCCTCTGGCAGGCCATGGTCCCTCCACTATTCTTCACCAACACCACACCTTAAAGGCATCAGTCCGTCTTCTATTTTCTTAGTTACTGTCCAGCTTTCACATGCATTTGAGGGGACTGAAAACGCTATAGCTTGGGTCAGGCACCCTTGAGTCCCCAAGGTGACATCTTGGCTTTTTAACATTTTAAAGAGGTCTGTGGCAGCGGATCTGCCCAGTGCAATACGTAGTTTGAGTTCTTGACTGCTGCTTCCGTGGGTGCTGATTACGGATCTAACTAAAATGAAACCCTCAACAGTTTCACTCTCTCCCTCACGGGGCCTCGCAAATACCAAAGCCTTCGTTTTAACTCTCCCAGCCAGCAGTGGGAACTGCCATGGGTAGTAGAACTGCTCAGTGGTGGCCCCTTCAGGTGGTGTCCAGGGTATGTGTCTAACCTTCCACAGCTATGCCTTGGCCCATAGATCCCCTTCACTAACGAGATGGATGCTCTCCCATCCTCTGTCAGCCTCATGATTTCCCCCGGCCACCTTCCCGCTCCCTTCGCGCAACCTGGCTCTGCAGGATTCTCTCCTCTGGACTTCCAGAGTGGACTGTCAGACAGACAAAGACAGAGTCCTGATGAGGTTCCAGTCTCCCCCTCCCTTACAGAGCCCTCATCTGTGAAATGAGGATGGCCACTGAACCTGCCCCAAGGTGGCTGTGAGGATCAGCTGAGGTCAGCACAGCCAGGGGCTGAGAAATAGGACCAAACGCAGGCAGGTGGCCAGCTTTTGTCCTCCTCATAGTGCCGAGCTGGGAGCACGTGGGGCTGAGACCAAGCCAGGCTACACTGGCCCAACCACTCACCTAACGGGGGCTGGGTCCCCTCCAGGAAAGGGGCGCCCTTTTGTTGTTTGCCCGTCTGGAGGGGGCACCTGTTCCCAATTCACACAAAGCCCTTCCTTGCGTTGGCAGCAGCCCCTGCTGTTAAAACCATGGGCCCACTGAGGCTGCCACCTGTTCCAGCACCGAAGAAGTCACAGTGTGTGTGGGGGGCCTGATCGAAGTGACACGGCTAAGCCTGGCCTGACTCCCAGGCAAGGCTCTTGACTACACACTCCTGGCCACTCCTCTCAAGCCCCTGCTGGTCACTGGTCCCTGCAGCGAAGTCTCCCCCACACCCTTCCCTCCCCACCTGAGTTCTCTAGAGACACAGACCTTCTAGACACCGGACTACTTGACACTCCTCTTAAATGACTCAGGACATTTTCAGCCCTGGCTTCCCCACACGCATCCCAAGTCCCCTCTCCCACCCCGATCACACCAGCCCATCAGTTTTACCTCCTCAGTGCAACGCACTGCTGTGGAGTCGGATCTGACTCATAGAAACCCCTTCTTGGGTTTCTGAGGCGGTATCACTATGGAAGTAGATTGCCCAATATTTCTTCCGAGGAGTGGCTGGTGGGCTTGAACTGTCAGCCTTCTGGTTAGCAGTCAAGTGCCTTAGGCACTGTGCCACCTCCTCAGTAGCTCCAAGGTGCATCTACTCTCCTTCACCTTTGTCATAACTGGTCCCTGAACTGATCTCTGACATCCACTGCGCTCTGCACAGCAGCTTTGATGCTGGTTTGGAAACGGTTCAGATCGAATCCCTTCTCTGCTGAAAACCCTTTGGTGGCCTGTGGCAAAGATCACACTCCTTCCGTGGCCAGCAGGGCCCTCCTGGCCAGGGCCCTGTGGTTCCCCAGTCTCACCTCCTACCACACGCCACCCCTCAACCTCCCCCAGCTACAGGGACCTCCTTTCAGTTCTTCTGATGCACAGGGCAACCTCCCGTCTTGGGGCCTTTGCACGTGCTCTTCCGACTGTGGCCATTTTCCCTCCTCACCCAGCATTTCATGCCTTCTCACCTTCCAGTCTCCATCATGCACCACCTCCTCCGGGAAGCCTTCCCTGACCACCTCCCACCCCCCGTCATTTTCAGCCTCTCCCATCAGACACTTTCTTCAAACCCAGGTCTTCTCCTTTGAGGCACTTGTGTCGACAAAATCCCACTCCTTTGTGCCCTTTGGCATCCGCATCTGTCTCCTGGGCTGGAAGCTTCAAGAACGGACAGCTCTCTTCTCCTGCTCCCGCTGGGCCCCTTGTCTGGCACAGGGCTGGGCACATAATGAACACACGATAATACATGTGGCGGGAATGATTGTCAGTCACGATCCTGTGTCCCCTGCCCACACCCTGACCCCCTGACGGGCCCGGGGACGATTTCTGAGCCATCTGGAGTCAGGCAGGGGGCACAGAAAGAGGCAGCCCTGGCCAAGGAGCACATGGCCCCCAGCCCCAGGCCACGGGGTGGTGGTCACACAGGCTAGAAGCTCCAGAATGGCCGCTCCAAGACCCCAGCAAAACCTTTGGCCAGCGTCCCACAGACCTTGCATTCAGAGCCAAGGCAGGGCCCAGGCCAGGCGGGGGGAGAAGAGAGCCCAGCTTGGTGGCTCTGAGGGAGCCTACCAGCCACATCTATGTCAAGACACTAAAAAGCAAACATTCAGCTTGCTGTTGTCCTGTTAAAGTTTCCATTGTTATCAGTTAACACATGCACTTAGTTCAGAAGCCAGGTAGTCAGTGCAGAAGCTTTCTTTTCCAAACCCACCAGCGCCTGCCCCTGCTCCTGTTGCTCTCAGTGCCCCTTCCCTGGAGGCACCCTCTTCCCACCCTTTGAGCTGCCTGTTTTTGCCTCCACTTCCTCTCTGAATAACAGGCTTAGATGGGCTCTCCGGAGTTAAACCGCTGCCTTGTTCTTCTGCTCTCTGCTCGGTTACTTTATGCAGTAATTCAAGCTCAGCCTCCCTGCCAGCTGTCACAATCTCTTCTCAAGACATCTGACTCACCAGGAATTTTGTCAGCTTCATCTTCTTGATGGAGGTCCCCACCTGCACCTGCCGTCTGGACATTGCCGGTTGCACCCTTTAATCCCCCCTCTGACCTCTGCGTATCCTGTAAATGGGTGGTTAGAGCTGATCAAAGACTATCAGAGGACTCCTACAGGAATGTTCTTAGCACGTGGTCAGTGATAGCAACATACCGGACACAGCCCACAGGGTCCAATAGGAAAATTCCTAAGTCAATTTCGTGTTGTCACGTGGAACACTATAAAACAATATAAATGGCTGAACTGCATACTTTTGAGAGATGAAAGAAAATTACAGCTCCTAGCCGCAATACTGTGGACCCGGGGGTGTTTAGCACACCTTATTTGAATTTAAAATCCTACATATGGTGTATAAGGACTTGCACTCATAGCCGTGGTGGACTGGACTGGGACTGGATTTACCTTTGCACATTAAAAAAACTCCATTGCTGGACAGAATGCATACGATGGTTTTCAGGTAATGAACAGCAATTTGTTCAGGCCCATGACCTCTGGATGAAGGAAACAAAAAATGAGTCATGATCGTCCCAGCTTTCAGCCCGGGAGAGTCTCCAGGTGAATTCAGCACAAAGAGGCGTAGCCTCTCAAAGGCTGGTGCCTCCATGATTTCAGGAGGTGGAAGTGAGGCTTCAGGAGGCCACAGAGGTTAGCGTTTTCAGGGCAGAGTACTGGAGAAGCGGGGGGTTGGGAGAGGAGAAGAAGGGGAGGGGAAGAGAAGCAAGAAGAGGGGTGAGGAGAGGAGGAGCAGAGGGTTCCCTTTGAGTCTTCCCCTGAGTTCTGAGCCGTGACGCATATGAAGAAAACCACCTGAGTCCAAGAAAAGAACAATTACTGGAGCTCACACAGGACTTGGTTGGCTTCCAAGCAATGTCATGTTGTTGTTGGGTGCTGTCAAATCGGTTCCAACTCATAACAACCCAGGTCACAGAGTAGAACTTCCCCACAGGGTTTTCTTGACCACCAGGTTTCTCCCTTTGAGTAGCTGCATGGGTTCAAACCAACAACTTTCTGGTTAATAGCTTATTCATTGCAACATGAGGGCTCCTTAGTGATGTTATATCACCTTGCTCATATTATAAGATCCCTGAACCAGTTGTAAGATTTAAAATTAACTTGCTCAAAGAATTGGGTCCTTATCCTTGATTCCTGAGAGATAATCTCTAAAACTTTGGAATGTTCCCAGTGATTAGAGTCTTTGTTATTCATAAAGTATCCAGACCACACCTACCTAGTAGGTTACAGAAAGAATTTGCTCCTGAGTAGGACCTGGCCAAGCTGGAAAGACTGTGTGATATCAGCCCCACCTCAGGGAGGGGCTGGAGGTTGAGTTCAATCATGTGGGCA